CCCCCCCCCCCCCCCCCCCAGGAGCGCCACGACAGTGCCAGCAACGGGACGGCGCGGCTGCCCCAGCTGGGGGCCGTGGGGCAGTCCCCGTATAGCAGCGCCCCGCCGCTCTCGCACACCCCCAACGCCGACTTCCAGCCGCCCTACTTCCCCCCTCCGTACCAGCCCATCTACCCCCAGTCTCAGGACCCCTATTCCCACGTCAACGACCCTTACAGCCTCAACTCCCTGCACACCCAACCGCAGCCCCAGCACCCGGCTTGGCCGGGCCAGAGGCAGAGCCAGGAGCCGGGTTTGCTGCACGCGCACCGGGGGCTGCCTCATCAGTTGGGGGGGTTGGACCCCCGCCGCGACTACCGGCGGCACGACGACCTGCTGCACGGCCCGCACGGGCTGGGAGCGGGGCTGGCCGACCTGCCGCTGCACTCCATCCCTCACGCCATCGAGGACGTGCCGGTAAGCAGCGCCGGGCCGCGGCCCCGGGGAAGAAGGGGAGGGGAGGGAGGGTGGGGGGACACGGGGCGAGGGAGGGGCCCCCGAATTGTAATAGAAGGGGAGGGAGGAAGGGAGGAAGGCCGAGCCCCCCTGCCCAGAACAATGGGCTCGTGTGTTGCGCCCGCTGAAATGGGGATAAATCAAATGAGTGTCGGCGTTAACAATATCTTTCCTTCTCGGTGACAATGAGATGTTGCGATTGGGGAACGTTTACTATAGCCACAGGGCTGGGCGTGTGGGGATCTCTCGTTGGCGTGGGGTCTCGGAGAGCGTCCTCCGTGGGAAACGAGCAGGGAAAGGAGTAAAAAAAAGTCGGGGAAAGTGGCCTAAGGAAGAGAGGTCGGTTCCCCACGATTATGGGATGGTGGCATCTCAAGTTGTGAGGGATGCAGGGAGATCCCTTCTCCAAAGGGATTAATGGACAAGTATCAGAGGAGGGGTGTGTGGAGCTGCTGCCATGTTGTTCCAGCAGCAGTACAGAGGGATGGATGACCCCACAGACCATTGGCTATACCTATGGGTTATCAAATCCCAGCCAGACCCGCTGCACTTCTATTAAATTAAATGTGCGGAGCCCATTGGGCAGCGGGTTATTCGGGGAATCCAATTCTGTTATCAGTAAGCCCGGATTTAAAAAAAAAAAGAAAAAAGAAAAAGGTTTCTAATGAAGCATGGCATTACACAGGGCTGTGACGGAGCAGCCGGGCCATTGTTCCACAGGAGAGTGCCTTATGCAACGCAATGGGAACGTGAGCAAAGTTCCTCTGCCGGTGTTCTCCCTGCAAACAGAACCAGAACGTGGCAATAGATGTATGAAAGCTCGCAGTGCCCGTGCGGAGGGGCTGAGGCTGCGAGGGAGAGGAGGGAGCTGTGGTGTCTGGATGTGATTTCTGCCGAAATGCCATCCCAAATTACGGGATCAAATCTTACAACAATATATTCGCTGACAGCTTAATGAGTACAGTTTCGCGTTGCGAAGATGATGCTCAGACCAACGTACCTCATTTTGGGGGGCGTTTGGAAACCTTTTGAAAATTACGCTCGTGGAAAATGGGGAATTTATGGCAGCCCTCCCCCCCCGGCTGAATTTAGCCGCAGAAAATTGCCGCTTGTGTTCTGCACTTTTGCAATAAATACAAACGCTTTCCAGAGCGGAGGCTTTAGTGAGCCATTGGGATCCGATAGGAACGAGTTGATTCTTTTAACCCGATGCGAAATAACGCGGAGGCAACAGCAGGAACAAACCAATTTGTTGCCGGTGAGCCCCTGACTGCTGCAGGAACGTGACCAAAGCGTACTCCTCCATTCCCCCTCCGCTCCCGACTGCTCTCTGTCTCGCTGTGCCCTGCAGAGATTGCAGTACAAATCGCTCCGTTCGCATCCAAAAGACCCACGAATTAACGGCGCTGCCGTAGTTTGTGAGAGCTGAGTGCCATCTGTTTTAAATCCTTACCCAGCCCGGCCCTTGGTTTTTTTTGTTTTGTTGTTTTTGGTTTGTTTTATTTTATTTTTTTCCCCCTCTCTGTAAAACGGAATGGGCAGGGTGAGTGCGGGAAGGCACAGAAATAGGGGAGTAGCTGAGAGTGTCCGTTGTGAGAGGGGAAAAAAATACGGAGCTTTGGGTCGTTTGTGGATTTTCCCGTTGCTGCCACGGTTCGGCTTTAACAAAAGGGACCGGTGGAGATTTAGGAAAATCGAGGAGACGGTGAAAATTATTTAATCATAAATATCTCGGTGGGATTTTAAACTTAACAGTCCTCCCCGTACGGAATACGCGCAGAAATAACACAAATAAAAGTATTATGCCACACTACATTGACTTTATGGGTTTAGGGTGCATGCATAAAGGGATCATATTTCCCCATATAGTTAAAACACGAGAACTGCGGCAGTAGTCATTTCTGAACATTTCTCAATTTAATTATACTTAAATCCAGAAGCACTTTAGGCAAGTTACAAATGAGAGCACGGAGTATAATAAAACCTGTAATAAAGCAACTTAGTACCATCCACCCGGAATCATTGAGATCAGGCACAATTAACGGGAGCATAAATCCAAGGCAGAATGGAAAATGTTAGGATCAGTATTATTGTTGGACAAAGACTAGAGGAGGAAGTAATAGTTTTTTAAATGGTAATGCCTGCGTTTTGTAACGATTGCGAAACCTTCTATCTCAGCAGCGCTGGTGTTAATTTGTAAACACAGCCAGGCATTATATCGCCTGTCACTTCTTTCGGATTTAGAAAAAAAGAAAACAAAACAAAACAAAACAAAACAACCCTATTCCGTTTGGCTTCCTCGGCACGTTGCTATCGAACCCCATCTGCGGGCAGACAATGGGGGGAGCCCGCCCGGGGGTGCAAAGCTCGCCCCGTCGGAGCGGCCCCGTGCGCCCGGCTGCGGCCGCTCCTTTGTGCCTCGCCCGCGGCGGGGAGAGGCGGAATGGAGGGAGGGAGGGAGGGAGGCAGGGATGGATGCGGGGCCCGGGGCTGTGGGACGGCTCTCGGTGCCCGCCGTGCTCGCTGACCGCCGCCTCTCGCTGTGTTGCAGCACGTAGAAGATCCCGGCATCAACATCCCGGACCAGACCGTCATTAAGAAAGGTGAGCGGCGAGCGCGGGCGCTGAGGGCCGGGGTCGGGAGGGCAGCGGGCGGAGGGCACGGCTCGTATCGCTTGCCCGAGAACCGCGGGGCCGCAAAATCCGCTCCGGTGCTTCGGCGCGTTGGGAAGCGGCTCGGTTTCGCGCTTTGCCCGAAGCTCGGGGCAGATCGTTGTCGGTAAAGCGGAGGAGAAAACGCCGCGCTCCTCTCCTCTCGCGGTTCCGCGGTCGAATCGCGGCGGCTCTCGGCCGGGCTGCCGGGAGAGCGGGGGGCGAAGCGGCGGCGGGGCGGTGGGATCTCGTCGGCTCCGTGCCGGGCGGACCGGGCACGGACAGCGGGCGGCCCCGCGCCCCGTCCTCATCCCCATCCCCGTCCGCCAAGCCTTTGTCACGTCAAATTAGACGCGCGAGGGATAAATCTGAAGAGATGCTCTTTCCGAGCCGACATGATAATTGGCTCTTTTATTAGTAATCTCCAGAGTTCGTTTAACTCCCGGTGTATCCATTAGCCCTCCCCGAGCTATTAATGTCACAAGCCATCCATCCCCAACCCCGGGCCCTCCGCCTTGCGCTCCCAACTCCTGCGTTGTGCCGGGGCCGCCCGCTGCGTTTCGGTGTTTTGTTTTTTCTTTCTTTTTTCTTTTCTTTTTTCTTTTTTTTTCCCCCCTCCGTTTTTTTTTTTTTTTCTTTTCGTTTTCGCTCCGGGCCGGGCTGGCCGCTCTGCCCCTTCTCCCCTCCCTACCCTCACCTCCCGCTCCTCCCTCCCTGCAGGCCCCGTGTCCCTCTCCAAGTCTAACAACAACGCCGTCTCCTCCATCCCCATCAACAAGGACGCGCTCTTCGGCGGGGTGGTGAACCCCAACGAGGTCTTCTGTTCGGTGCCGGGCCGCCTCTCGCTGCTCAGCTCCACCTCCAAGTACAAGGTCACGGTGGCGGAAGTGCAGCGACGCCTCTCGCCTCCCGAGTGCCTCAACGCCTCCCTGCTGGGCGGAGTGCTGCGGAGGTGAGGGGCGGGGGATAGGCGGGAGGCGGGCGGGCGAACGGACGGCGGCGGCCGAGGGGGCACCGAACTGCGCGGCCGGCCGCCCGGCGACCGCTGCCGCCCCGACGGAGCCCCGCGCCCGCCCGGCCGCTAGGGGGCGCGGCGCGCTGCCGCTGAGGCGGTCAATGGGGGATGGAGGGGGGCGCTGTAACCATGGCAACGCGGCTCGGTGTGCGAGGGGTGGCGGAGCCCGGCCGCTCTGCCCTCGTGGCGGTGGCAGCCCAGGGTGCGGGGTTGGCGTCAGCGTGCCCTGTGGGCGCCGTTGGGCTGTGATCTAATGCAGACAATTGGAGAGCGCTCGGGCAGGGAATGAAATTAATTAGCCAAACTTTCATCCTGACCTGCCGTCTCTGCCACGCGGAGATCAGTCTCTGTGCGGTACCGGCAAACTTTCACATCAGCCTGCTCAGTAACGATAGAATGGTAGAACAGAACCATTAAGGTTGGACACGTGGCTAGGATAATCTAATCCACCATCCCCGCCGTGCCCATTAACCACGTGCCACATCCACGCGGTTCCTGAGCACCTCCAGGGATGGTGACTCCACCACCCCCCTGGGCAGCCTGTGCCAGTGCCTCGCAACTCTTTATGAGAAGGAATTTTTCCTAATATCCAACCTGAATGTCCCCTGGTGCGACTTGAGGCCATCCCCTCTTGCCTTATCAGTGGAATAACGCAGCTGCCCTGAGTCATGTCCCCTCTGGGCTGTGGTGGCTGCTGGCTCAGAGCAGGCTGTCACCTCAATCACTGCACTGCTCCATCAGTACACTCAGCCTTCCCCCCAAAACTTCCCCTCATTGTCCGTCTGGTACGGCATTTTGGGGTGCTGCACAGTCCCTATCACCCATCCTCTAACCGCCTTCTGTTGTGGCACAGGGCAAAATCCAAAAATGGCGGGCGGTCCCTGCGAGAGAAGCTGGACAAGATAGGGTTGAACCTGCCGGCCGGGAGGCGCAAAGCTGCTAATGTCACCTTGCTCACCTCGCTGGTGGAGGGTAAGTGCCTCAGCCCTGCCTGTGGTGCTGCACAGTGGGACAAGGCTCGGTGTCTTGCCTTGTTTTTTGTTGTTTTGTTGTTGTTGTTGTTGTTGTTGTTTTTTCCAAGTTGGTGCTGCCTGTTTGAAATTGTTCTTGTGGTTGACCAGGAAAGGACGGTTGGTTGTGCAGCTCTGTCTTTCGATCTGACTTGAACTTAAAATGAATCTGGCGGACTCGGCATTAAGCTCAGTCCCACCAGCACTGGGCTGAAAGTTGCAGGGAGTGGGGCTGCTGCCACCCCTCCACAGTGGGCAACTGAAATGTCAAAAAACTGCAGCTGCTTTGGGATTCATCTCTCCCCTGCCCCCAGCCACATAACAGTAAATCATTTAAGTTTTCTGACATCTGCATTGGAGAAATGCGTGACCATTACTTCCTGAATTAATTTGGGAATCCTTGACCTAAGCCATGAATTAATGGTGTCCTGAAAGCCTCCGAGTTGCACCCCCCTCCCTTTTGGTTCTCATTTTCAGAACATGTGTTCCCTTCATTATAGCGTTCCTCTCTGCTTTGGTCTGTCCAGAGAACGCACAACTTACTTTTAGCACCTTCAGGTGCCTTGTACTTTCAGAACTCAGTGGTGAGAAGCCTGAGCCTTTGCTGTCCTTTAGTTTTGAATCAGTTGCTTTGTCACATTGACTGGCACAAAAGTAAACCCACACCCAGAATATAAATCCTCCCCCTTTCTCTCTGCTCGTGGGTTTCACAACATTTTGGGCCAGCTTGGTCTGCAGAGTGCTTTTAACCTCATCCCAAGCTGCGCGGGTTTGCGTTAAGTTTGGTTGTGTAGGAGGGAATTGGTAGCTCTGTTTTGTTGTCACTTTGCATTCTGCTGGAGACGTTTCATGTTGAAAGGGATGGGGAAAGAAGCGCTGCGCAATGCTGGACTTAAGTTTTTTAAACATTCAAGTTAGGTAGCTGCACAGTGTTTATGCTGTGTGGAAAAGAGCTGCGTCTTAATGTTTTTGAGAAGGCTGTGCCATTGCATCAGCATACCATAGTAACAGATTGCAAGGGGAAAACTTCTAAAAAGTCTAGCTTTGGTAGAGGCCTAATATTTTAGGGGATGTTAATGAATATGGAGAATGTTTGATTGCAATCTATTGTTCTGTTTGGCATTGGCACATAATTGCTTTAAAAGGGTGATTTTTATGAAAACAAAAAGCAAAACAGAGGCCCGATCTCCCTCCGTTTAGCTTAGGAGCGGTGTCTGGTTTTGGGGGGATGATAGTGTAAACACTGCTCAGGCTTTGAGTCCTGTAGCATTTTGTGGAGTACTGTTATTGTTTATGATCCGCTCCATTTTATGGAAACAAGCTCACTGGACTGAGGCTTTGAAGCTCTAATTGGCGCATGCGTTCTTCCGGAGCTAGAGCTAATGGCAGGAAGCCCTGCAGTAAAAACCAACTGGTTCAGGAAATTAAAACCAAAGATTTGAAAATCAACAAAACAGACAGACTCGGTGGAATGACCCTAAAATTCTCATGGTTAATCGTTTGGGGGGGGGGAACATATAATTATATGCGATCAAGTTAAATTTTAAACACTTAGCTGTTTAATGCGTTTTATTTAGAAGAGCTCTAGGAGTAATTATGATCAATATTAATCATTGATGCATTGCGAAAGAATATAGAGACGTGGCTGAGGCAATCAAATATTTCCGGAGTAAATAGATTTGAATGAGCTGTGTATAAATGGCTGCGTATACACGTGGCTATGTAAATGTAAGCACACATTTGAGGTGCACGGAGCCTGTCTGGCTAAGATCTGTTAGTCAATGGAAGCTTGAAAAAAAAAAAAAAAATTGAATGTGAAATTTCACTCGTAAAGATTGTCATGAAAATACACATTTGCATTGCCCTAGACTGAAGCAAAAGGCAGCTCCTACAAGATAAGGTGGGATTAGCATTTTCTGACTGTACCTTTTTGCAGAGATAGAAAGATACCAGTCCCCGTCTTTTAGAAGAAAAGCCCAAGTAGAAAGTCGTGCTTTTTTGTTGTTGTTGTTGTTTTTCTGATGTATTTTTGTCTCTGTGCTGTGTGTACTGATGAGCTGTGTGTTTCCCTCCCCATCCCCTCCCGCCTCTCCCTTTGCAGGGGAAGCAGTGCATCTAGCTAGAGATTTTGGGTACGTTTGTGAGACAGAATTTCCTGCCAAAGCAGTAGCTGAATTTCTCAACCGACAACATTCCGATCCAAACGAGCAAGTCACAAGAAAAAACATGCTTCTAGCTACAAAGTAAGACATTTACCTTCCTAGCATGTGGTTCAGTTGTGAGGGGAGGGCGACAGGCCCGGGTTTGGAGCTTTTATTTGCAAATGTTTTCCATGTAGCCAGTGGCTGCTGGTGTTGCGTTTTGTGGGGGTTTGTTTGTCCTCTCCTGCTCTGGAAGCTCTGCGTAACTCAGCTTGGTTTCCATCCAGTCCATCTGCATGGATTTGCTTGAGAGTGAGTTGTGGATATTGCAGATGGATGTTTGGTTAAAGAAAAAAAGCAGTAGTTATTCAAAGCAAAAAAATATTCCGGGTCCTTTCACTTAGCTTATCAATTAAGGTAGAAGAGGGAAGACTTCCCATCGATGGTAGAATAAAACTGGCACATTAAGCTGATTTCAGATCATTAAAATCTGCAGCGGTTCTTTCTTCCTAAGGATCTCAGCTACTCAGTGAACGTAGGGATATTAAGAATATATTTTAAACGCCAATCTGTACACAGTTAAAATGCTAGCAGGGTTTATCATTGGTGGGGCTAGCTAGACTTCCAGGTGGCGTGTGAAAGGAAAATGATTGTTTTGATATGTTTGCTGGAAATTAAAAGGGTTGTTTAGTGGCCCTTAATTACCAGTGGAGGTGTCACGAAAGGGCACAGTGCCAGAGGGCGCAGGCAGAAGATGGGAGCCAGTTTATGGCTGGAAGACATTAACGCGGGTTTCAGAATCCAAACTGTTTCAACGTGCCTCTAAGCCCTCGCTGTAAGGTGTGTTATTTCCCCAGCCCTTTGTGCGGTGGGCGGATGGTGTCACCTAACTTCTGCACCCTGCCCTCGTATCTTCCCTTCTCACGTCCCTGGAAGGAAATTTCCAGAGCCCGGTTAACGTCATGTGTGGAAAGGTCCCTTTGGATTTGGAGATAGATATATATATATATATAAAGTGTTTTGGAACACCCTAATGTAAAGCCTCGATTCCTCTCTCTTCCTTCACCCTTTCCTCCCCACGCACATGGGCGTGTTTTAGCCTTGTGAAGGAAGAGGCCCGAGGCTCTCCAAATAAGAGTCTTCCAAAACGCGAATAAATCCCCCAAATCCTCTCTGGATATTGCGGCCCGTCTCCTCCATTCGGTACTTTAAGCCGCGTATTGATTCGGTTCCAAAATCCATCTGGGAAGGGATGTATGTTTGCAGGCAGTAGGTGAGGGGTGCGGGACGGGGATCGGTGGGGTGGGCGGGAGCTGCCGTGCTGTGCGTGCTCGCTTTTTGTCCGTGCAGGCTGGGGCACGATGCGTGCGCGCAGTTGTGCACGTGTGCGAGGTGAAGGGAAGAGGTGTGTGCTTTGCCCACAAGTGTGACACAATGGGGGAACGTTGCATAGAGGAGAGGAAGCGGTGGGGAGCAAGCGTGCGTCTGTGAGCTCTGGGGCAGCGGCCGCCTTCACCCGCGGGTTTGTGTAACCTAGGAGGGAGCGTGGCTTTGCTGCTGGCGGCGATGGTTCATTTCTCTCCCTCTCTCTTCCCCTCCTGCCCTCCCTCTCTGTGTCTCTGCTCCATTTGTGCTATAGACAGATCTGTAAAGAGTTCACCGACCTGCTGGCTCAGGACCGATCTCCCCTGGGGAACTCGCGGCCCAACCCCATTTTGGAGCCGGGCATCCAGAGCTGCCTGACCCACTTCAACCTCATCTCGCACGGCTTTGGGAGCCCGGCGGTATGCGCTGCCGTCACCGCCCTGCAGAACTATCTCACCGAGGCGCTCAAGGCCATGGACAAAATGTACCTCAGCAACAACCCCAACAGCCACACAGACAACAGCACCAAAAGCAGCGACAAAGAGGAGAAGCACCGAAAGTGAGGATTCCCCCCCACTCTTCTCCCTTCCCCCCCTTCGCAGCCCATCAGTCCATTCATCTCCCTCCTCCCTCTGCCCTGCACCCAGCACCCCAGGCTACGGCAACAGAATGAGCATCCTTCTGCCAATCCTGTTCTCTGACTCTGCGGGACTGCTCTGCCCTCTCCCCGCACCCCTTCCCGGCATCCACATCTCCATTTGCTCCCTTTTAACTCGTTCCCCCTCTTCCCGCTGCCACCATCGTTTTGCTACCCCAGTTTGGAGCCTAAGAGAACAGAAAACAGGGGGACGGAGCCAGCAAAAAGTAAAAGTTCTGTCTTGAGTTTGTGAACTTTTTTTTTTTTTTTTTTTAAATAAAACAAAAGGAGGAAAACAAAACAAAACAAAACAAAAAAACAAAAGGACTTTTTTTTTTCTAAAAATATATTAAAAAAAACTAAAAAAAAAAAACCTAAAAAAAGAAATAATACTTAAAAAAAATTCTATGAACTGGACTGAATCACCACCTTCCCTTACATAAACTTCAGTTAAGATTGTAGCCATATTAAAAGAGAAAAAAGGCGAGAGAAGTGCGACAGCAGCAGCAGCAGCAGCAAGCAAACGAAAGGCAAAAAGGACTGATGACGTTTTATCAGTATTGTGAATAAACTTGAACACAAAACACAAGCAGTTCCATGTCATATCTTCAGTTGTAGAACTTTTTCCTGGCAAAGGTAAAGCGACCAACTTGAACTTTCTATTGCAACATGATTCACGGTTATTATATAAGGGAATCAGTGTTCATGTATGTATATATTTATTTATGTGTAATTTAATGGGAATTGTAAATATGGTGAGTCTGTTTTAAGCCTTTTTTTATTTATCTGGTGATCTCGTTTACCTCTTGTTTAGTGGGTTTTAAATCTTCCCCTCTTAGTTCATCATGTGGTTCATGGTACTTATTTAGATATCAGAGGTTTTTTGGGGGTTTTTCTCTGGGATTCATCATTTTTAGCCCTGTTGTAGCATGTTAAAGGCGACAATGAAGCAGACGAACAAATAATAATTAAAAAAAAAAAACACATGGATTTTTATATATAATTAGTATGACATTTAGTTTCTCATTGAAGAAAAAATAAAGTGATGTTGGACCCTGGCAAGATTTTTAAACATGTTAGTGGTTTTACAACCCTTATATGTTGTGAAAAATGAAAGAAGAAGTTATTTGCATCCTCTGTCCCTCTCCCCAAAGCACCATCAGAGCAATAAATTAATACTGTCTTTTGAAACAAGATTTAGCTTTTCTTTTCTTCTTTTTTTTTTTTTTTTCCTTTTTCACTCTTTTTCCCCTTCCTTCCCTTTCTTTTCTTTTTGGTTTGTTGTTGTTTTTTTTTTCTTCTTCTTTTCTTTTTTTCCAAAGAACTTCACACATCCGGGACCACCTGGTATCCTGTATTTCCACTGGCCATATTGGAAGCAGTTATAGTTGTATTGTATTGAGTTGTGCCGGCAGTAGTTTCCATGCCTGTCAATGTATCATAGTCCTTTGTTGCCCAGATAAATAAATATTTGATACGCTTTATGTCGATTTTTTTATTCAGTGGCTGTCTTTACCCAGGCGTATTTTTGTTCTTGGCAGTATTTTTTATTCAGTATGGTTACAGTAATTGAGTTTAACTCTCCCTTGACAATTGCTCCTTGCAATAAGCAGCTGAACCCATTGTTTCCCTCAAGTATAATAAAAACTTACTTTCAACTTGGAGTTCAGAGCAGGGTATCATTTAGATATTCCACCGAGTCTGTATTCAGACAAACGACACAATAAAGCACAATGTATTCTTTTGGATAAAAAAACTGTCTGTACTACTAACAAAATGACACGCTATCTTTTCTTTAACCAAAACATAATTTTATTTAAAGAAAAAAAAAGAAAAAAAACAAAAAAACAAAAATAAAGTTTTATTTTATTTATGTTGACCTCTAGGTTTTTATTTCTGTTTATCCGCAGCGTACAGAATTATAAAGCCTGTACAATTTTGTACGTGTAGTTGTCCTGCAGGAGAGCAGAGAGAAAAGAAAATGGTATCTATCTCAGGAAGGACGTTATTAAAGGAATTACTGCTAAGCAAATACTGAAAATTAGGCGTTGTGAAGGAAAAAGAAACGTCCAGGTGAATCAGAACCGGGTGCTGGAAAGGAAAAGCTCCATAGTTTGTGCCTACGTCACCTCCCGGCTCTGAACTTTAGTGCAATCCTGCAGGAGACAGATCCGTTCTGATGGATGGTTTGTGTTCGGGTGGGAGGCGCAGGTTGGCATTTTGAGATGGCTGCCCCCGTTTGCCAGGAGCTGCGGGCTTTAGCTGAAGTTTCTTCTTGTGGTTGTAAGATAGGGAAGTTTGCTTTAAAAATATTGATGAAAAGGACGGAGCGTACGGCTTGTAGATGGGTTGTAAAAACGTGTGAGAATTCCGCCTTTGAATCTATTTTCTTTGGCCCAGGGGGTAGGTGAAGTCAGCATTGGGCTGGATTATGTTATATCACAGGAGAAGGGACTAATGCGGTTTAGATTGTAAAGGCTTTTTAAAGAGATGGTCTCCTTGAAGTGATGATGATATTTTGGTACTGGTGGCTGATTTTTCTCTCTTTCCCTTTCCTGCCTCTTCCTCATCTCTCTCTCTCCCCCTCCTGCTCTCTCTTTTTTTTTTTTTTTTTTCTTAGGCAGAAATGGTGGAGGTTAAGAGGGAGGTGTTTACAATAAAGCTGCAAAGAGAATTAACATTTGCTCATATATTCTGACGTTTGCTAGGGCTGGTGAAGCAAAGCATTAGATAAAGCCCAAGATGTTTCATTTTGCTTTGGTAATCTACTTATGGGAGGCAGTGTAAAATCAATCTTGCCAAGCAGAAAGAGAGTTGGTGGCGTCGAAATTCTATTTTCGAGAGCCAGCCAGTTTATAAAAGCCCTGAATATTTTTTTCTTATAAATTGAAAGTGCATCTTTTGAATGCAAAGCTGCAATTGTTTTAAAAAACAGTTATTTATTGTTTCCGAGAGAGACTGGTTAACTGTAAAGTAGATGTAACAAAATAATGAGGTGAATGAACCCTAACTGTACATATTCTTGACATAAATGAAATGCACAGTATTGTAGCAGGTGAAGTGAAGCATTGTCTATCAGGGCTGTTTTTCTTGGCTGCATCTCAGATTGTGTGTGGGATCCTAACCTCAGGCACAATAGCATTCATAAACAGCAATACATTGCTGCTCTTTCCACAGCAACACATAAATACTCATTTTTAAACGAAAACAATCTTATTATATACCATTCATTCGGATCTGGATTTACAGATGCTTGTTACTTTTAGAAACCTGTACCCAATATAATCGTTTTATACTGGGCGATGTATAAAGCGGTCTTATGCTAGAACATTATAAGGTCGTAATAAATAATGTTTTAAAGATATAATTAGCTACTCCATGCTAGGAGAGCGCATTTCAAGCATCCTTCTGCTGCATTTGCAAGCCACCGAAAAAGAGAAATGAAATGACCTTGCGTAGATATCTTTATGGCTGTTATTTCTGAGGAAGGACTTTGCAGGCGAGGATGGAAATCAGACTGGCTTCAGCTCAGCCTCTTCTGCTGCGACCGAGGCGAGGTTACAAAAACCTGCTAATTACTTCGCTGTTCTTTGGATGCGTTCGTACCGTTGCGCTCAACACGCAGCAGTCAAATTCTAGGTCAGGCTTTCAGACACCAACAAAAATCTGCTGTTGTTTTGTCCTCCAGATTGGCTAGAATTAGGCTGAGTGGCTGAACGCTAGACCAGGGCTGCCACGCCGTGCTGATTTCTGCACGTGAGCCTAACGACGGCTCGGCGCTCGTTCGCCGTGAATAAGGACAGCCCTCCTCTTTGTACCGTAATTCACCCCACCCTCCAAAAATCGAATATTAATATAATTTGAGATTTAACTGGTGGAACAGCCATCAGGACAGCAATGCCCCGCAGCTGAAATAATATTTAAAATAGAAGGGATTTGACATTTGAGAAGTCAGTGGCTTGAAATACCCAGTTGTACTTAGCTAATTCAGTCCTTAACCTCTGGTTTCAAATAAATCAATTACAGTCGATTCCACTTCAGTTCAGAAGTGCACGAGGTTTTTAGTTAATTGAATACATTTTATTCACTTGCTAGGAGTATTCATTTCTCCAAACCCTTACATTTGAAGGCGATTCCTTTATTGCCCTTGATAAATCTGACTGCGTAATCAGATCAGCTCCTTGTTTGTTTGCTCATCTCCTGCCTCGCATTGAAATCCCGGTGTGTGCGCTTCCCTTTCCCTCCTCACCACGTGCGTGTCTCAGCCCAGCCCGGCTTCCCAGAGCACCAGCCCTCACGTTCCAAGAGTGTGGCTGAAATAACAAACGTCTCTCTGACGGGGAGCAGCGTCGAGCCCATCCCAGCCAGCAAAGGCAATGGGATGGAAACAGCTCCAAAGCCAAACATGAAAGGTTAGGAGTTTGCAAAATGCTGGTTCTGGCCCACGCGCCTTTTCTAAGTGTTCCTCCGCCAGTGCTGGGAACTATTAGGGAGTATTTGGAACCTGCCCGGTGTCGGCAGGAGATTTTGGGCGGTGTGGTTGTGACTCGAATCCACTCTAAACAGATAGTGATATATGCAGTACGTTGGGTGTGTTGTTTGCAGAATCCCGCTGGCGTTGGTTAGCTGTTTTGGAAAGGAAAGGGGTTAATTAGCGTCATTATCAATCACTAATGCTTGTCTAACATGTCCAAAGAATAATCAAGTTAGAGAACTGCATGAAGCTAACATCTGCTTCATTCCAATTAAAGATTTTTCCCTATATCGTTCAATTATTGGAAGTCCACACCAGTTTCAGGCTTTGTCGGGGCCATAAAACAGGGTCGGATCGTTAGAAATCTAGAATGGAGGGGAAAGTGCAATATAAATAACAAATGGCTTCATTATTTGAGTTACAGGTGCACGAATGGCCGTGAAAATGAGCGGGGATTACTAAAATGTGTTCCTTCTTTTTATCTCTAGGATGGGTGAAAAAAAAGAAAACAGCCAAGCCTGGTTCTTAGGTCATTTATTCTGCATAGGGTCCAGCTTCTCCATTTGCAATATTTAGTTGAATAACCTGAAACTCCCCAAAAGAGGTAATTTACAATAAGCAGTAGGAA